GAATGTCTGCTATCCCACAGTGCCTGTTGATGTTACTGGACAGTCCTTTGAACAGAGCTGGACTGCTTCAAGTGTACATTCACACAGAGAAGAATGCTTTGATCGAGATCAACCCACAGACAAGAATTCCTCGCACTTTTGCACGATTTTGTGGACTAATGGGTAAATTCACTCCATTTGCTCATATACTGTAATCAAGTCAATTAAATTTTGTCAGTTTTGTATTACAGAAAATGCTGTAGTATCTCAGATTCAGAGTAAGTTTATCTTACTACTATTTGTCCTCCTATAGTCCAGCTTCTGCACAAGCTGAGTGTGAGAGCAGCTGATGGTCCTCAGCGTTTGTTAAGGCTGATTAAAAATCCAGTGTCGGACCACCTGCCACCTGGATGCCCCCGATATTCGACATCATTCAAAGCAGGAGATGCTGTGTGTCCCAGAACAATTGTCCCTAAAGATGGACCTGCCGCTGTTGTCATTGGTGCATTTGCACATGGAACAGTGAGTCTGTTCCCGCTTCTCCTCACAGCTAAATGAAATATATTCCCCATGCATAGAAAATAATTTCATAAATGTGAATTGTGTCATCGCTTTTGAAATAAATCACTGATCTGTCTCTCCATCCTATCATAGGTGAACGCTGACTACACAGAGAAGACTGTGTCCATCAGTAACTATCCTCTGTCTGCCGCTCTGACCTGTGCCAAGATGTGTTCAGCGTTTGAGGAGGTCTGGGGAGTGCTATGACAAAACCAAACTGTTATGAACTTTCATGTTTCTGCCGGATTGAGGAACAGACCTTTGGACTGCGTTCTGTGTGTGTATGGTCCATTCCTTTGAGCAAAAATTGTGTTATATGACATCAGAACAGAGGAGAATATTTAATGTATTATGACACAATTTTAACTCACACTGAAGCAAACAGTTATACCCTTTAAAATGTGGGGTATTAAACCTCAATTCCATTTTGTATAGGTTTATACGCTTAATAATAAACCCAGATTTGCATTTCTGATGCATGTAACAACACTTTTCCCTTTTTTTCTCCCTACAATAAACAAGAGCATGCAACAGCGTGCCACTTTTTCAGCCGCCTTTGTTTCCAGAAGCAATTTTTCCATTTAAAACGTCCATGTTAAAGGAGTATAAGCCATGAACAAAGCCAACCAGCTATAAGATGAATCAGAACATTACATTACTATTAAGCAAAAAAATATTTGAAAATCAGACAAAAAGACATAGGTACAGGACTGTACTTAACGTAGCACTAACTTTTTCTGTGTTCAAAATTTGCAAAATGTATATAATGAGCGAGTACATCATGAATTCATCTTCCAAACCTCGTTTTTGTCTTCTTCCGAATCACTATGGTACACTTATAATAAGTACTTATATTTGGACTATTGTAGCCTGGTCGGGTCGTCACCGCTGCGGAGTAACACATACCTGCGTGAATCGCCAGAGACATAAACTTAGAGAAGTAGCTCCGGTTGGAATGTTCTTCCGCGGGATGTGTGCAGTTCTGTTTATTAACCGCTAGAGCGCCAAAAGTTACATAGTGCTGCTTTAAAGGGGTCGAGAGAGAGAGAGAGAGAGAGCGAGAGAGAGAGAGAGAGAGCGAGGGGGTCACATAAACACATACTAGCTTCATCACTGTGTCTGTCATGAGACTCTGTTCCTCTTTCAGGCTCTGTCTTTACATTTATTTTGAAAGATGAAGCTCGCGATTATGGTAAGGGGCGTTACATTTCCGACGAGAGCTTGCGTTGTTCGGCCAATCACAATGCACTGGGTCAGCTGGCCAATCAGAGCAGACTGCGCTTGTCGGAAGGAGGGACTTTGTAGAAAACGAAGCGTTTGAGAGAGGCGGGGCATAGAGGACCTACAATAATGTACAGTATTTGAAAAAGAATGTGTTTTTTGAACATTAAAGCATGTCAACATATTCTGTTACACCAAATACACAAAATAAGGATCTTTAAAAAAGCATCATGTGACCCCTTTAATGGCTTTGAGGAGAAAAAAAACATGAAGCATTGTGAATGACAGTCAAAATAATTAATATAAAATTCAAAAGTATAAATCTTTGAAGTATTTTGAGAGTGTAGGGAGACTGATTTGATTGTCATTCACTGTGCTTCATGGGATTGAAAAATGGCCATTTTTAGTGCAATTTTGCTTGCTGTGACTGATTGATAGAGATTTATTTCTGTGCAGAATCATGGGCGGTGTAATCTTCACCAGGAATTCTGCTGTTAAAACAGTTTTTTTTTTAAATAAATTGAAATTACGAAAACCGATGGCTTCTGCAAAAGCATGTACCATTGATTAACAACCTTGAGTTCACACACAGCAGGTCTGTCTTTGAAGGTTTGCAAGTTATCATTAAAACTCGATTCCCCTATAGAGAAAATTAAATGAATTTTTACTTCTGGGACCTGACTGTTGCTGGTTTTATTCAGCATTATTCTGAGATGTTCTTTTCAAATTCTCTTTTAGAATTCTCCTCACTTGTTCTGCTTCATCACAATCGTTTTATAGTTGTACTGTAGCTTTAATCCTGTATTCTCCATTCTCCCTCTCTCCTCCTGTGTTCAGGCTCTCTGGACATTTGAGCTTCCTTTACCATCAAATGTGCTTTAGTCGTTACTTAAAGATTTTTTTCTGTCTAGGCTTGCTGTTGATTCTCCCTGCTGCTGGCAAGTTAGGATGCGTTTGTCACTTTTAGATTATTAAAATTTTTTTTTTCACATGCAACACAAAATTACACCATTGTACGGAAGAGGATTAGGGCCAAGCCATAATAAAGGAGTGTTTAATAATGATGTATTAATTGGGTAGGTAGGCTATAGGGAGAGCTTTGTTGTCCCAATAAGGCAGCGTCTGTTCAATAATTTTAATTAAATCATTTATATTATTGCATCCTGTTAATGTACAATACTGAGGTGCAAAAATTGAGTTAAACCTGAATGATTCAGTAGTGAACCACTGAATTTGAATAACTTTTATCATAACTTAAATAACAGATAGATGTGCATTTAATAAAAATAATACGCAAATGGGACAGACACATACACTGTATGTATTTACCACTTCTACTAAGCAGAAAATATATATTTAGACGATGCAGTATATACATGATCAGAAATCAGTCTTTCATGAGCCGTCGTCCGCTGATTCGTCGCTCATCTCTGGATCCTCGCAATCTTTAGATTCGTCTAGCACAGATTTCTGTGTCGATGGGATCCAGGTAGTTACAGACTGCGCTCTTCCTGCCGAGAGCCAGCACCTCTATTCTGCTAGAGAGGGGCTCATCCTCCTTCCTCTCCGACAGGAACGTCCGATGAAGCATTAGTTTCTTCATTGTGTGACATTTGTATTAAAGAGCTGAATTAGAACCTGCACCGTCCTCTTCAAAAACCGCACATGTTCCGATGGCATCCTCGCACTCCCCGGCGAACAGATAGCGGCCCACCTGCATCATGGGCTGCTCGCTGTCAATGTCCACGATCTTACACGCGCCCTGCCGACTGGAGATTAAATCCGAGCTGATCATCCCAGACAGTTCCGCCACAACCAGCTGCTCCTCTTCTTCCCGTTCGTCCTCCATGGCTGTGTCTGAGGAAGCAGTTGCGCTCATTTAACTATTTGAAATGTCGTATAACTCATGAGCTGAAGCCCTCCGACAACTTCACGTAGCAAATTGCTGTCAGTCGTAGTAGATTTTTCTTCTTCTTCTAATGTTATTGGCGGTTGGCAAACCAACTGAAAGGTGCATTTACCTACTGGACTGGAGTGTAGGCAGTACTGTGAAAGAAAGGACAAGGAGAGGAGAAAATAAATAATAATTTATATATATATATATATATATATACATACCTTCTCCTCCCACCCTATATATCTCCATCAAATTCTTTCACTTATCCCAGTATGTTTCAAATAATTCATTAGACTATGTATTTCCCTAGACATTGTTTTTCCTAGCAGATTTCCCACTGTCATATTTTGTTTTCCAGCTTGTGTTTCTAACTCCCTTCTTTCTTCTTCATACCTTTTACAATCTAATCAAATATGTGTTACTGTCTCTTGTGTGTTGCAGTGGTTGCAAAGACCCGTGGGGTGTTTTCCTATTCTCTGTAATGTAACATTTAGACCAGCATGACCTATTCTAAGACGTGTAATTATCTTTCCTTCCTTTGGATTCCTGCTCTGCCTGATACTATTTAAACCTACTTGTTTTTGTATGTTATACAGATGTCGTCCAGTAACAGTTATGTCCCAGTATTCTTGCCATATTTTGCTTGTCTGTCCCTTAATAATGGTTTTGATTTCTGTTCTACATAAATTGATATTTGTATATCAACTGTTTCATGCTTAATTGCTCCTCTTGCCAGAATATCTACAATTTCCTTCCACCCCTACATGAGCAGGAACACAAAGGAAGGAAACATCCAGCCCGTTATCATACAGTATTAAAAGTAAGTTGAATATCTGGTATATGATATCTTGACTACATGATGTTTTCCCAGATTGAATACTAGCAGGAGTGCTGTCGTAGATTGTGCGCGACGGAAGAAGTGATCGAAGGTCCGGTTCATTTACACGAATCGGTTCTTTTGAACAGTTCAGTGTAAAGAACTTTTAAAACACGATTCATTAGTACTTACCTATCTATCTATCTATCTATCTATCTATCTATCTATCTATCTATCTATCTATCTATCTATCTATCTATCTATCTATCTATCAGTCTTTTTTATGACTTGATTAGTATGTTAGCCTTTTCCATTTACATCAGTTAGGACTTTGGCCAAAAATGTGTTTTGCACATTTAAACGAATAAATACTCTCTAAAATAAACAAACAATCTCTGTTCCTTACGAATGTGTTACTCGGTTATTAAAGTAACTTTTCGCATATCCATTTAAACCTCGGTTCACCTGAGAGAGAAAAAAATCAACGGATCAGGAAAAGATCCGACTCCAAAGAATGAATCGTTCACCAATCGGGCATCGCGAGCAACTCCCGGAAATCCAGCGTGTGCTGAAGTCACATGTGCGCTAGCTCACTGCAGAGCGTGAGAGACACGTGTACTCCGGCAACTTTCGTAAATTAAAGGTACAATTTCTCTGTGTGTCCTAGAGAAGATCGGGATAAGCGCAAGAGCGTGGTTTTGTTCAGCAGTAAGTATCTGATGGGTTTATCTGCAGAGATTTTTTTGTGTCTTAATCGGTTCACAGTAAGCTAAGCATGTAGTTTGCAGCAACGTGCTAGTAAACGCTGTGCAAATACATCTGAATGTTTTCTATCTAAACATGATTTTGAATTTGCTGTAATAATATAAACATAATGGCTTCGCTTATATTAGTATTACCTATGTAAAACACTGGAAGCTGCTTCACTCTCTGACAATCAACCAGCCGACTCAGTAAAAGTTGTATTTGTCACGATTACAAGCTAGACATCTATTTTAATAGAAGCAACGCTTTGAAATTGTATAGATGAATATGCTTACATGAGAGTGTTATCATACAGTATGAAAGCCACATGGGACATGCCCTGGCAATCCACACACTGGCTAGGTTTCTGTTTTTCTAACCTTATATTTATGGTGTTTTCTATTCTGGGCAAATATCAGCTTGTTAATTGTTCACTTGTATTGTTACCGTAGAGCAACTTTGTAGGTGTCAAGCATGGGTAGGAAGTTGGATCCCACCATTAAGGTGAAAAGAGGACCTGGACGGAAGGCCAGAAAACAGAAGGGAGCAGAAACCGAGCTGTCCAAGTTTTTGGTTGATGGTAAAGCGCACATTCTCTGAGCCATGTGTTTATTGGGCTATATTTTCTTTTTTCACTTATTCATTATTTATGTTTATTTTGTAATATATATAAAATGGACATAACAATGGTTATCTTTTATTCGCAGATGACGGGCCAAAAAAACTTACAAGCAGAGCGAGGAAACGGTACGTTTCTTTGAAATGATTACATATGAATAATGTAGTTAATTCCTTTGTCATATTTTGGTATCTCTGTGATAATTACTTGTGAATATGATTTATTTTTTCCCAATACATTTCAACAGAGCTATAAAAAGAGCTCAAGTGACTGAAGAACCCAAACAAGAGGAAAAGCCCAAAAAAGGTATTTCAACATTTAAAAATGAAATTATAATGAAATTACAATGTTTTACACCCATGAATTAGTAAATAAATTATTTTTTATTTCAGGATTCTCAGATGAGAATAGTAAATGGCTAAAACCAGCGCAGGGGAAGCGAAAGATTGAACAATCTGAAGAAGATGAGGACAGTGACAGCCAATGGGAAGAAGATGATGATGAAGATGAAGAGGGCTTTGATAACAAGGAAATGGAGGAGAAGGGGGAGGATGATGATGAAGATATGGTTGATGACTATGGTGCCGATGAACAAGACAGTGATGGAGAAGAGGTATGATTTCAACCAATGAAAAACATTTGTATAGAATAAATCTTGACCTTTCTCAAATGTCAAAAGCATTTTTTTTTTCTCCTTAAAATACCCAGATGTCATACTACTAAAGCTTGGGGCACAAAAAACTACATTTCACAATGCAGTGTGCTTGACTTTCCATTTCTGTGTGAGATGAGCTGGAAATAATATCAAAAGCAATTTTTAGCATCTCTATCTTGGCTTGATGTTTATTGGTTATAAAATTGCCTTGTTTATCTAAAAGTGCACTTTTCCTTGTTTTAAAACTAGCCAAAAAGCCATGTGTTGACTGTGAAACAGTAGACTTTAATTATATGCATTTATGGTGTAATTACTAAATTTCTGTCAATCCATGTTAATTTTTACCGCGAATAATGCGCTGTCACTTTAATTCAGCGCGTGCAGCACAGCAGAAATAGAGTGCAGAAACGATCGCAGCATGACTGCTGCAGACCCACTGCTCCTGGAGCACGGCAATCGCTTGCAGTGTGAACGCTCTGATCCGTTAACATGGGCGCGGACAAAATACGCACCACATACGGAGTGTGTGAACCTGGCATTACGTTTGTATGCCTGCCCAGTCTGTTCTGTTCTCGTGCTCCATTTAGGCGCGCTGCATTCTGATTGGTTCGGATAGCATACTGCGGGAGGTCCGGGGTGTGGAAAATCGTGCTATAAAGCGATTTAGAAATCGCGCAAGCTCAAATCGCGATTTTATGACTATTTCGATTAATCGCGCATTTAAATTTACAATACGTGTCTAGGTTACTCTCCTGGCTCGGCATATAAAATTATATGTTGTAAATAGGGCTGGACAATAGTTCAATATCAATATGTATCGCGATATAATTTTTTTCAATAACGGTGATATGATTTTTAAACACATTTCCGATGTTTCGATATATAGCCTACATTACCAGTGTTTCCCATACATTGATTTATTTGTGGCGTTTGATTTCCTTGAATAAACATGAGCACTGCATGTTACAAAATCAAAACACGTCGCGGGTGTTTTATATGAATGTATCTCTGAAGGGAACCGACTGTCTTCAGAAAAGTTTCCATGACATTTTCATTTGATCTGATAAAGAAGAGCCGATTTGATTACAGCCATTACTGGGGAAACCGTTAGTTTTATCACTCTAAAAGCGCCTCCTGCTGGCAGAGAATCAGTTTGCATTTTCAATAAGCTCGTCTCCAGCAATATTTCCAGTTTTTGTTGTTGTTAAATTGTTTTGTTTTCTGCAGCGACTCTGAGCACTTTTCATACCCTTTTGTTTCAATCTATAAGAATAATCAGCCTACACTACCAGTCAAAAGTTTTTGAACTAAGACTTTTAATTTTTTTTTTTTATTCCTGTGATCATAGCTGAGTTTTCAGCATCATTACTCCAGTCTTCAGTGTTACATGATCCTTCAGAAATCATTCTAATATGCTGATTTGCTGATTATCAATATTTAAAACAGTTGTGTAAAAAATTTTTTCAGGATTCTTTGATGAATAGAAAGATCCAAAGATCAGCATTTATCTGAAATAAAAAGCTTTTATAACATACACTATTCCATTCAAAAGCTTGGAGTCAGTATAATTATAGAAATTGATACTTTTATTTAGCAAGGATGCTTAAAAGGGATCAAAAGGGATGATAAAGGCATTTATAATGTTACAAAAGATTTCTATTTCAGATAAATAGTGTTCATATCGATATCGGAATTATATCGTATCGACTGAAATTTTGGCCATATCGTCCAGCTTTAGTTGTTAAATAACATAAAAACAAATGTTAAGGCCGCTATCATTATTTGTGGTGTTGCAATTATTTAGTTTCTCAGTTTCTGACAAGGACGATGCAGGAGAGATTTCTGTGAGGGTCTCAAGAGTCTCTACCTATATATACACATCAACTGACACTTCACCAGAAGTTTACAAGCTTGGCTTATCTTTATGTGGAAGTTCTAAAGAACGCTCCGTGCAAATGGTCAATTGGATTTAAAATGGGAAATGCATTTAGTCACATCACAAAATAAACATGCAACAAAGTGAAGCTGGCAACATTGTAGCATACTACTACAATTTGAAATATGTCATTACATACTGTTATACTCTATAAACACTATTAAAAACAATCAGCGTAGTATTCTAAGCGTAGCCCTTTCCTTATTGTGATTTTTATCATTACTTGCCCTGTCAGCTTCTGCCAATTGAGAGAGCTGCAAGAAAACAGAAAAAACAACCAAGCAAGAAACCAGAGAGTGATGACGACGACGATGAGGATGAAGAAGAGAAAGATGATGATGATGATGATGAAGAGGAAAAGGATGATTTAAAGGAAGATGAGGAGGAGGAGGAAGAGGATACTGTACAGGCAAATATTGATGAAACTGAAAAATTCATACTCCCAGCTGCAGCGGATAGAGCGAAGGAGGGTGAGTCCAACTTTATTATGTCAGAAAACTACAGAAATTCACAGCTTCTAAAGTTGTATTTGATCTAGAAGTGTATTTTAACCCTCCATCTCTCGTGTATATAGGTCTTTTACCCATGGACTTACAGACCATCCATCAGAGGATCAAAGATAATGTGGATGTGCTGTCTCACTTCAGTGAGAAGAGAGAAGAGGGTAAAGAGAGATCGGAGTATCTCTCTCTGCTGCGCTCTGACCTCTGCACCTACTACAGCTACAACGAGTTCCTCATCAGCAAACTCATGGACCTTTTCCCTGTCTCTGAGGTGTGTGTTAGTGTCTGCTAATGAGGAGGAACTTAGCATGGCAGGTTTTATTACAGTTTAAATCGCTGAAGTATAGATGCTTCCTGTTTTAGTACCACCCATCTGCTTCCTCACAAGGTGTGTGGCTATGCTAACAGGATAGAGGAACTGTCTGTCAAGATCTGAAGGGGTGGATGGCCACACCCCCTCCACCTCTATATGAATTGGCAGTACATCTATATCAGAAAATAACTGTCTTTGTAAAACTTTGGAAATTGTTTTCTTATCTGTTGATTGATGTACAGATATCATTTTCAATTTCAGCTGATTGATTTTCTTGAGGCCAATGAAATTCATAGGCCAGTCACCATCAGAACCAACACCCTGAAAACCAGAAGAAGAGACTTGGCTCAGGTCTGAACAGATTTATTTTCCTTTTAACCAAAACGTTGTGATATTTTGTATTAGAGTCACATTTCCATCTGCTATGATTGGACGGTGCTAATTATGGGTTCCAAAACATGATCAATTATCACATCATCAGAGCTAGTTGCAAAATGCATATGACCACAGTGTTTTTGTAGAATAAATGCTAACATATGCTGATACATCCGAACAATGTCAAAAGGTTGGCTGTCTGTCAATCATTCATTGTGCAAAATATTGTAGGTGATGTGTGGCTTTTAAAATAAATAATCACCTGATTGAAAAAATTAAGTTGTGTACATGCTCAAGGCTTCTCGTGTGAGGCATGCAGATGCGAAGTTCAAATAACATTGATTAAAATAACAGCCTCTCACTCAATTTCTTGTTTGCTGTAAGACTAAATTTGGAAATATATTTGGAACTAACTGCTTTTTCAGCAGTAGAAACAGCCACAAAGATGGGTTGCCATTATCAATAGTGTAACGATGTGCAAAGCACTGCTCACACAGAGGTCACTTCTAAGCCAAAGAGTTTTCTGTTAATCGATTTTGCAGAACTTGCATGTCAAAGTTCAATACACCTGAAGCCAATGTGAAATCTGTGTCGGGGTTTCTGCGGGTCTTGTCCTTCCACATATTAAGATCTGAAAAAGGTCTTAAATCAGAGCACAAAATCTTAATTCATAAAATCATGGCATTAATTGCTGCATGCATTGCAAAAGAAAAAAAGTCCTTCACAGTGTTTTTGTCTTGTTTTCCAGTACAAATGTCTAAACAGCCTTAAAGGGATAGTTCACCCAAAAATGAAAATTTTGATTGAAAAAATTAAGTTGTGTACATGCTCAAGGCTTCTCGTGTGAGGCATGCAGATGCGAAGTTCAAATAACATTGATTAAAATAACAGCCTCTCACTCAATTTCTTGTTTGCTGTAAGACTAAATTTGGAAATATATTTGGAACTAACTGCTTTTTCAGCAGTAGAAACAGCCACAAAGATGGGTTGCCATTATCAATAGTGTAACGATGTGCAAAGCACTGCTCACACAGAGGTCACTTCTAAGCCAAAGAGTTTTCTGTTAATCGATTTTGCAGAACTTGCATGTCAAAGTTCAATACACCTGAAGCCAATGTGAAATCTGTGTCGGGGTTTCTGCGGGTCTTGTCCTTCCACATATTAAGATCTGAAAAAGGTCTTAAATCAGAGCACAAAATCTTAATTCATAAAATCATGGCATTAATTGCTGCATGCATTGCAAAAGAAAAAAAGTCCTTCACAGTGTTTTTGTCTGGTTTTCCAGTACAAATGTCTAAACAGCCTTAAAGGGATAGTTCACCCAAAAATGAAAATTTGAAGTCCAAAATATTGCACCCATCCGTTATAAAAGAAGTCCACATGGCTCCGGGGGGTTAATAAAGGCCTTCTGAAGTGACACGATGCATTTGTGTAAGAAAAATATCCATATTTACAACTTCATAAACCTTAATCTCTAGCTTCCGCTAACTGTCATACACGCATTCACGAGAGAGTGGCGTCCAGCGGATGATGTAGCACGTAGGCAAACACGGGGACGAGCGCGGAAGTGACAAGCGTGGAAGCGAAACACCGGTCACGAATTAGTAGTACAAAACGAGGATTTGTAAAGAAAAATGTCGGAGGATTTCAATATAAGCCAAGAAGACACTGGTTTTCCTTTGCTGTAAACAAAACCAACCCTCTACGCACACCTTGGCAATATAATCGCCATTGGCTAGTACATTTTTTTTGTTTACTCGCCAGACTGATATACTATTTTATACACACACACACACACGCACGTTTACTTGGCTATCTAAATGGGGACATTACATAGACTTCGATTGTTTTTATATACAGAGTTATACACTTTTTATCCTAAACCCACCCCTACCCCTCACAGAAAACTTTCTGCATTTTTACAATTTCAAAAGTAAAAAAAAACTTTGTTTATTTTTATAACAGATTTACAAATGAGGACATCCACAAATTTAGGTTTTTTGCCGATTTTGTCAGGTTTTGCTCACTTTTGGGTACAAATTTGTCCCCAAAATATGGTTAAGTTGGTACACACACACACACGATTCCACCCAATCAGCTTATCTTTGTAAAATGGAACAGCTTCTTAAATAACTGAATGTGCACTCTTAACTTCAGCCAATCAAGCATTATATTATGATATGGCAATTAAGCACTATTTAATGATAGAACTAGTGATTAGAACTAAAACTTGGTAACCATGAATGAATGCATATTTGTCATTTTAACTGAACTTAGGACTGGTGGTGGTATTTAAGATATTGTTGGTCATAGGTAATGGTAATTATTATTAAAAGATGATACTACTACTACTATTATCTGCTGGGTTCATGAATATTAATCACGTTGTCAGCGTTCGCTCGAACTGATTAGCTGAAATCAAAACATGGACGGTAATAGATGAGCGCCAGCCAACGAGAGCTGTTCGCGCATTAGCTCCGCCCACTGCCGAGAAACCGGCATATCTTCTGCTTGTTCTTAAAAGCTGAATAATTCTAAATGAACTCTGTTATTTTGACAGGAATATACAACAAAGAATATGGTTTACATTACATGATTTAGTCGCATATGCGAGTGATTTACTCGCAATGTTGAGGGTTGAAAACTTGTTTCTTACGAGACTAGCATATTCTCACCGGAGTTTACGCTACACCTACGTGCTACGTCTTCCACTGGACGCCACTCTCTCGTGAACGCGCATACTACAGTTAGCGGAAGCTAGAGAATAAAGTTTATAAAGTTGTAAATATGGATATTTTTCTTACACAAACGCATCGTTTCACTTCAGAAGGCCTTTATTAACCCCCCGGAGCCGTGTGGACGACTTTTATAATCGATTGGTTCAATTTTTTGGACTTCAAATTTTGGGCTACCATCCACTCCCATTATAAAGCTTGGAAGAGCCAGGATGTTTTTTTTTTTTAATATAACTCTGATTGTATTCGTCTGGAAGAAGAAAGTCTCATACATCTAGGATGGCTTGAGGGTAAGTCAATCATAGGGTATTTTTCATTTTTGGGTGAACTAACCCTTTAAATCAAGATACATTTACCTGAGAAGCAAAATATGGAAGATATTTGAAGACTTGTTTTCTGAGAAATAGAGCAAAATTAAGTGAGTTTATGCTTAAAATCAAACAAACAAACCGTTTGTTTTGAGACCGTTGGCAGATATTTTTGTTAAAATAATAATTTCACTTTATTTTGATCAATTGAAAGTAAGACATCTTTGCTTCTAAAAGTAAATGTTTCTTGAATTGAGAAACTTTAGTCATTTGCACTGGAAACAAGACACTGAGGTAGAACAGTGTGGTTTTTTGTTTAGTGTGATCAGAATGTAAGAAGTTATTTCCATATTCTAAATAAGGTTTTTTTGCAGAACGAATTGAATTGAAAATGAATTGAAATGTAATGGAGATCTGTTGGAAGTTGTGTTTTTAAACTGTTGCTAATACAACAATATTTCTGCTCCAAGGACATTTTCATTTAGAGAATATATTGACATATTGTGTTATCTTTAATTTAGTCCTTAAATTTTCTTTACTTGGTCTTTAAAGTGACTTTCGTAAAACCCTATGTGTGGGGAAACGGGCAGAATTTTGCACAAAAAGTCGAAATGAAGCAGAAATAGTGACAGATACTGTTTTCTGTATTTTGATATAGATCTGAGTGTAATAGATTATGGATGTATGCGAGTGAATGCAAGCTTGCAGTCGATTGTGGATGGGCGGGGTTTTAAGTGGACTAAATATTTAAAGAAGTCTGCCATACGTCACTAGAGAAGTCATTTTCAACAGAAGATAGAGTTATTAGAATGTTTTGATTGAAGATTACAAAGTCAATAAAAAAAGCATAGATGCATAATTCATAATTGTCTATAACGTGCATTTGCAAAATAGCTTGGGCACATTTTCATTTTATGCCAACTTTAACAGTCATTGTGAATATTGTGTACAAAACACTGTCACAATATCTGAGACAAGTGGTCACAAGAGACACATCTATTTTGATACCCTTCTTTAATACCAGGTGTCTCACCTGACCACTTGTGATTGGAGCATCCCAAAACAACACACATTAACACCGATGTCTCGTGTAATCTAATGGCTTGTTCTTTAACACAGGCTCTGATTAACAGAGGAGTGAACCTGGATCCATTGGGGAAATGGTCCAAAGTGGGGCTGGTTATCTATGACTCTTCTGTTCCCGTTGGTTAGTTCTACTGTCATTTCCGAATAACATTTTTTTTAAATTCTCCATCCTTGATGACTGAAAGCATTGATGTTAGTTGTAATCCTCTCTTTTATATAGGAGCAACTCCAGAATATTTGTCAGGCCAGTACATGTTGCAAGGTGCATCATCTTTTCTGCCTGTAATGGCGCTTTCGCCCCAGGAGGGGGAGTTAGTGCTAGACATGAGCTCCGCTCCAGGAGGCAAGACCACTTATATGGGTGAGCATATGCTTCTCTGTGACAGTCACACCAACTGCTGTGTTATTTGAGCCTTTTTATTTTTTATTGGCACAGTCGACACAAAGGATTCAAGTCAAACATTTCTACAATGTTATATTAAAATGCTTTGAGAGTGTGTAAAGACAAAATGTGTATCATTTGTGTGATGCAGCTCAGCTAATGAGGAACACGGGCATGATTGTGGCTAATGACGCAAATGCAGACAGGCTGAAGAGCGTGGTGGGAAACATCCATCGTCTCGGTGTCACTAACGCTGTCATCTGCAACTATGACGGCAGACAGTTCCCCAAGGTCCACACATCCTCTTTTTGCTGTTCTGTCCTGTTTT